TTTCCGGAGGGTTGCCCATATTTGCTTCGGGCGCAAAAAAAAAAAGCGTGTGCTCGTAATCGGCGAGCGGCGGCGGCGTGGGACACATCTCCGAAGCAGCAAGAAGAAGCGAAGCTGCGGCGTTGAAGAAACGGCTCAAAAATGGTCGACGGATGCATGAAGATAGCCGGCGTGTGAAGACGATGCGGCGCTGATAATATTTGCGGCTGTTTCTTGTTTCTATATTAAAACGTTAAATATATACGTCAAATTATCTCGCATCGATATGCAGCCCGCAGTATCTCAGTAGCCGGGGGTAATTAGGAAATAAATGTTTTCTTCAGACCTTCGCCTGTGTTATGGTAACAGCAGGATATATATTATTTATTGCCGTTTAGGTTTGATTAGCCTGGCTGCTACAGCCTATAGTAAACTACTGTATTACTAAACACCCACAAAATTGTAACTTATAGATAGTAAATAAACGTCACCAATAATTCACAAGTCCACTGCTGAACACAGGCCTCCCCATAGGTATGCCACAAAGCACGGTCCTGAGCCACCTGCATCCATCGACTTCCTGCATGTCTTAACAGGTCGTCAATCCATCTAGTGTGGGGACGTCCTACACTTCGCTACAAGGCTGCCACTCGAGAACCTATTTTTCCCATCGGTTATCGGCTCTTCGAGCTTTGCGGCCGGGCCATGTTGGTTACTCTGGTTCTTCTCATACCTATGTTTATCACGCTGAGAAACCCCGAGTATAGCCCTCTCCAAGCTTGCTGAGCAACTTTGAGCTGCCTTATATGGCCGGCAGTCAAGGACCACGTCTCAGATTCTTAGGTCATCACTAGCAACACGAACTGGTTGTACAATCTAGTTTTGAGATTTTGAGGTATGCCTGACAAGAAGACGTGTTGCAATATCCCGAACGCTGCCTAGCCGAGTTGAATCCGTCGATTGACCTCACGGTCCAAGTTGGACTTACCTAGTCAGACTACGTGTCCCAGGTAAAATATACTCGTCAACAACTTCGAGCTTAGTGCTCCGAACAACCTCCGGCATAGGTGTGACATGGACATTACACATGGTTTTCGTTTTGTCCATGTTCATCTTAAGACCTACCCGTTGGGAGTCACTATTGAGGTCATTGAGCATATTGCTTAGGTCTTCCAGCGATTCAGCCATAAGGACTATATCGTCGGAAAATAGAAGGTGAGTGATATATAGCCATTGATGTTAATGCCGTATTGTTGTTGTTCAAGGAACAATAGATAAGAGGAAAGGCTGAAGACAATGGGACCCTATTGAGGACCGGATATCAATTATATATTAGTTAATTGATCTGTACATTTCTAGAACCGAGTATTCTACGCAAAAAAGGATTTCAGGTTCGTGATCAGAGCAAGCCAAAACTTTTTTTAGGATCCATCGACCCACCGTCAGTCGACGAGGGCTGGTTTGTATCAGTTCGTGTCGTGAGCCAGAACTGCTACAAACTAACTACTCACAGTTCACCTTATGATAAATGAATGCTCACAGCATAACCCATAAACTTCTATTTATCCTTAAGACTCAAAATGCAGATGCGTTGTCACCCCTGAGTTTCCACTTTCCAATAAAAGAGATTTCCGGTTCTCTACACACTCCATACGAAACACAGCACCATTTACCGGCTATTTTACGTTGGTATTTTGTGAGAGCGTGGTCCTGCAGCCGTCGAGCCGACCCATTCGTGCTACAACCACTACTGTGTGCTCGTTTGCCACCCCTTTACTATAAAAAAGATCTTATCTTTTAAAGAAAAATAAAAAATTATCATATAATTTTTTTGACATTTATTTGAAACATCTCTATTTACAAAACTTATTAACATTTACGACAATTAATAATACCAAATAATATATAATAACGTTTTAACACACACTTCCAGGTACGATGAATCATTAGAACTAAAGAAAATCAGCTTCTGTTAAATAAATACTCAGACAATTTCGTCGGTTTGGAATTAGGAAACGTTGTTATATCAGCGATAAAATATATTACCTTTAAATATAGTTTTATTCTTAACTTCCAAATATTTTAAATACAAAATTATATGTATATTTTATTACCCTGCAGACTCACACGCATTTGACTGCAATAACGATAGAATCAAATTCAAAATTTCCGCTTTCACATCTTAGAGGTAAGTACAGACTTATAAGTATATGAGGCTTTGTAACAATCTCCAAGAATAATCGTAAAACGACGTATTTTATCAAAAAAAAAAAAATATGAGCAAGCACGCTACATATGACATATTAATGTGTGTCGTAGACCGATGATCTAACCAGCCCGTTAATTAAGTTCTATAGCAAGAACATACGTCATTAGTTGATGTTATGATATTTAACCTCCTTCACTTAAGAGTAATAACATACTTTTAGAGTCCTTTCGTTAGATGTAACCTGAAACGATTTGACAAAGATTTTGGCTAAACGAGTAGCCGATTAAAGATCGGAATGCTACATGTCGATAAACTAAAAAGCTAATATAAATTATCTAGGTACTGTGGTTTAATCAGTATAAATATATCAAAAAAATTTGGTAAATCCAAAAGAGCATGCCTTAAGCGCTCATGTTTTACGTCATTTTTTAAGGTATTTTAAATGCACACAAGTTTTCACTAATAACCGTATCTTCGTAGTTCGATTCAATTCTTTTTCGCTTAAAAACTTCCGCACGCACTCCTTTTTAAATTTGCGCCTCTCGGCACGTGCCTCGTTTGCCTCAAGGATAATCTGCCTCTCATCATAACTAACACAACGAGCACAATCTCAGCACACCTAGTTCTACTCGTCGAGGATTTCCAGTAGCAGATACCGAAGTACACCTTCAGATCACTCCAAAGTCCAATACGTATAAGTATGTTTATATATAAATGCTATGTACTTTTAGCGAAAAAATATATTGTAGTAAAAATCTGTGATTTTAAAAATAATAATAATATCTTACCTTGTCAAGTATGTATCAAATTTGATTTTTGGAATATTTTTTATTTCTACAGCGATCGATATTTTTCATCACGAGTCGCTGTCACTCACGACGGCGGCCGCGCCCAGAATGAGTCAAAGTATATTTAATAAAATATATTACCACACGGCTGCTCAAGACACCGACAATTTCGGAATTTCTCAGCCGAAAAAATTAATTATAACTAAATAAAACCAAATTTAAACTGCCATTTATATTCCATGGTTTCCCACATGATAGACGAAGAAATCAAAAAATTGATTGAGTTAAAAAATTGATATTTTCAGAAGTTAGTCGTGTTTACTCCTCCATGCGGACTTGATAAATCGAGACAATAAGCCAGTAAAACTACTATCTAATGTAAAAATAGCAATTAAATTATTAAAAAAAATCAAATCAAAACATTTATCTTTCTGACAATGTGCTTTTTGTGTCATTTATATGTTCAATATGATTGTTAGATACGATTTCATGCGACAAAACGTCGGATTCTTAATTTTAGGCAATAGTAGAAACATACTGTTAAAGTGCGTAACTTTGCGCTTAAGGAATGCATAAAGATGGAGATGCGACTTACAATATGCATGTATTATGAATACATAATCATATAAAAACATAAATGGAATCATACATACAAAAGAAACATAGCACAACGTGAGTTTGAATTGTTCCGTACTAAACTGAGGTGACAAAAATACTCAAAAATGTTTTATCTCTCTTCGCATTTACTCGTAACGTTTTAATACACCATTAATACAAAATAAAGCGCATTGTTCATTGTGTGTAAAAAAAATTAACAACTAAAATATCTAAATGCAATTGCGTTGCTTTAACAAATAAAGAACGAGAATTTTGTCTGAAAAAACGGTAACAGTGATGAAATCTTCTCGATGGTTCAAGAAATTTATAAAATCAACGAAATAGCGGGAAATTTTGAAATTCTTTTAACAACCTAAAAAAATATTAATCTTTTATAAAGACAGCATACAAGTCTTAATAATGAAAGTTTTAAAAACTCATTATTGTCAAGCATCAAGTCACGAACTTGACTAGGTTTATTAGGTATCACAGCCGTAACCAAGAACTATAGGAACACTGAACATTGTCTTCGCAGTCTTGTGCAGTCTTCCTGACAGTTCACTTATCACAATGTAAGCAGTATCCTCATTCCAACAGTAAAATACGGATTAAACAAGGCAATTAATTGAGCGAGACAATGTACATGTAATGTACAGGTCTGATTTGTGTTGACTACTATGTTTGTGTTTAATTACACTTTGATAAAAGAAGTTTTTACTATGTACTATTATGAAATGATAAAACTGTCATAATAATAAATAATATGTTATGAGATTACTGACAAACACGGTGAATCCTTAACAATATAGAAATATTTCATACAGTTTCCACTGTCTATACATCATATTAAACATAAACAAATCTTCAAAATAAAAAAATCAATAATAGTAGATAGTTAGCTCCTCTCAAACAATAATTATTGTGTACAGTTGTGCAATTACAACTTTAACCTTAATATACCTATTAAATATTTTAAACTTATCGAAAATAAATTTTAATTTTAATTGATTTTTTTTTAATTGTGAAAAGAACAAAGAATTGTAATATTTTCACAGTCATAGTTAATTATTATTATGGCCGTATGTTAAAATCACATTATAATTTGGTATGAAGTCTTATGGCGAAATATACTATTTTACCACGTTACCACGTTGTTGGTTTGTCTGTCTGTCGTTCCGTGTGGAATCTTGCAACTCAAATTTCAAGAACTTCGCGATGAACTGGACTTGAGATTTTGAACATAGTTCACAATAGGAATATGAAACAAAAAAACGTGGTACATATATTAATATTTTTTTGTACAATATTTAAAAAAATAACTTGTTACATGACGCAGTTTTGACAAATTCTATAGTACCCACTATAGTTTAGATAAAAGTCTCTGAACAGATATACTGCGCGACTGCCAATATACAATAATAACTATATTGACAGTCGCGGTCGGAACCGCGCTTGACGTGGTAGTTGAGGCAGGGCGTGAAGTTGACGTGGATGTGACGGAGTGTAGAGGTGTAGGGCTGTGTCTAGACGGGACGCCAGTCGCGGTCGGGGTCGCGCTTAACGTGGTAGTTGAAGCAGGGCGTGAAGTAGACGTGGATGTGACGGAGTGTAGAGGTGTAGGTCTGTGTCTAGATTGGGCGCCAGTCGCGGTCGGGGTCGCGCTTAACGTGGTAGTTGAAGCAGGGCGTGAAGTAGACGTGGATGTGACGGAGTGTAGAGGTGTAGGTCTGGGTCTAGATTGGGCGCCAGTCGCGGTCGGGGTCGCGCTTAACGTGGTAGTTGAAGCAGGGCGTGAAGTAGACGTGGATGTGACGGAGTGTAGAGGTGTAGGTCCGTGTCTAGATTGGGCGCCAGTCGCGGTCGGGGTCGCGCTTAGCGTGGTAGTTGAAGCAGGGCGTGAAGTTGACGTGGATGTGACGGAGTGTAGAGGTGTAGGTCTGGGTCTAGATTGGGCGCCAGTCGCGGTCGGGGTCGCGCTTAGCGTGGTAGTTGAGGCAGGGCGTGAAGTTGACGTGGATAGTGACGGAGTGTAGAGGTGTAGGGCTGTGTCTAGACGGGACGCCAGTCGCGGTCGGGGTCGCGCTTAACGTGGTAGTTGAGGCAGGGCGTGAAGTTGACGTGGATGTGACGGAGTGTAGAGGTGTAGGGCTGTGTCTAGACGGGACGACAGTCGCGGTCGGGCTCGCGCTTAACGTGATAGTTGAGGCAGGGCGTGAAGTTGACGTGGATGGTGACGGGGTGCAACGCTGCGAGCGGTGCGCGCGCGTCCAGCGCGTCGCACGCGTGCATCTGCCGCGACACGCACGCATACTCCACGCTCAGCGGCACGTAGTACTTGCCTAGACAGGTAAACATTGTCATTACGCATCTCACACCAACAAACAAAGACAGCACACTACGTACTTCGCTGGATGATAGGACTCTTTTCCAACGTAGAAGTCTGGTAAGTTGCTGCCCTCTTACCTATTTCTGGCGCCAAATACAGTACTTTCACTGTATAAAGGGTATAATAGAAAACCAGTGTAATTACAGCCTGTGAGGCATTCCATTACTTATCCTTCAGGAGTGCCCATGGACTGTAGTAGCCAATGAATATCAAGTGAACTATAGGTTCTTATGTCACTTCATATTTATATAACTTAAATGAAAATTTTTAAAAATATACGAAACAAAAAGACCTGATGATCTTTAAACGTCAGAACAGATTTTCTTGAAAAATAGCTAAGAACACTTTCGATAGACACCTTTGTGTCGAAGTCACCTTTCGATTTCATCCGTACAAATAGCTATGGATGCCACAAACTACACAGATCCTACACCACTATAAGCTTATAGCATCCCTCGGTTTTCATCGGAGGTAAAAAACAAAAAAGAATTTCGAAATCGTTATCAACGTTATATGAAAACATCGAAATCATATTTTCAAACACAAAAAAATTATGAACTATCTTCAGCAAAAATAATTATCTCGGACATTTTTTATACCATATAAAGAAGATAATTTAGGTGGACCAAGAACAAAAATGTGCCAGGTCCTTGAGGTACACCCAGTTTTATCACAATCCCTGGTGACACTACACCGTTTACTGTAACCTTGTTTGTGAGATATGATATTAAGAGATTAAGTGTGAAATCACGAATGCCATAGAATTTAAGTTTATTAAAATACTATGACCCACACAATAAAATGCTCTTTCTAGACCTGTATATAAATTAGGGCCTGCTAACTTAATATTCAGATATCCATATAATATAATATCCAGGTATCATTAGTTTTACTATCCGGATAAAACAAATAACACGGATTGTTACTTTTTATTGTAGAACATATTTATTATTTTAAAAAAGTTACATTTTATTACATTGTGTTTTAATAGTTATTCGCAATCGTAACATGGTGACGACATTGGCTTATCATCATTGGTTTACGTAAACTACTTCACAATAATGATTTCTTATATTTACGCGAACACTACACATTGATTAAAACTTTTATTACGGATTTTATCGCGTTTAATGTGTAGGAAGGTAGTTAAATAGAATTAATTTACAATCACAAAATACACGGATCACAGGTAATCAACTATAAATTGTACTTAGACTATTTTAATAGCTGATAATAATAATTAATTAATTCGCTTCCACGAATTAATTATCCAAAGAGTCGAGGATGAGCTAGTAGCGGGATACAATAAGTGAACCGTGCCACGCCAGAGCCATGACTGCTTTAACGGCGGCCGCTCCGTCCGTTTTATACAATCGAGACAAGTAGCTACACGAGCGCCACTGCAGGTGCAATGCGCAGATGTGCGGTGCACGTGTTGTTTACAATAATTCCGACTACCCACAGAGGCGCTGCGACATATATGATTTTTAATTCCCGACGTTTCGGGTGCTTTCCAGCACCTGTGGTCACGGGGGTGTTTTAATCAATACTTCACAATAATTAATACAAATTATTCATCCTCATACATATCCTGGTTTTTTTTTGTATTACGTGTCTACTTCAAAACTATTTTTTACAATTTAATGTGGAAATTTTTGAAGAATCATCGATAATGAGTATGTTTCATTATAATCATCATTACAACTCATCACTAGCCTTCTACTGAACATACATAGGTCCCCGACGAACGTCATAAAGCGCAGTCCCGAGTCTCATGCATCAATCGACTTTTTTATAGGATAGGGTGACAAACGAGCACACAGTCCACCTGATGGTAAGTGGTTGCTGTGGCCCACAGACATCTACATCTATCCTCGATTACGAATCAAAATGCAGATGAGTTGTCACCCGTGAGGACTTAGGTGGAATGCCCCATTTCCAGTAAAAAGGGTCTCCGGTTCTCTACACTCAACATACGTAACACAGCAGCATTAAGCCACGCTTTTTTTGACGCTGGTATTCTGTGAGATCGTGGTCCCTCCCCGGTCGAGCCAACCCATTCGTGCTAAAACTATACTACTAAAATAACTGCAGCATGGCTCTTGGTAGAGCCATGCTACAGTTATGTAATAAGAGACGCAGGAAGTTTTTACGTGGTCGTAAAAACTTCCTGCGTCTCTTATTAAGTCATCACTGCATCTAGTAGATAGCTGCCCTATACTCTGTTCATCAGCGTACCGAAGTACTGCAGTGTACGTACGGTATGGCTACGGTGGCTATCTAAGTACAGACATAATCAGAGTACGAAATTTATTCAAATACAGATAGGTGTAAGACAGGGTGACGTTATATCCCTGAAACTTATCACCGCTGCATTGGAATTTGAAGACATTTGAAGCTACTGTACCGTAAAGAAAACGGTATCAAAATCAATGGCGAGTAAATCACTCACCTTAAATATCCGACGACATAGCCATTATGGCAGAATCGCTGGAGTATCTCAGCACTATGCACAACGACCTTAATATAATCTTCCAATCCCAACGGATATGTCTTGAATTGAACATAGAGAAGACAAAGATTATGTGTTACGTCCATGTCGTACCTATACCAGTAGTTGCTGGGAGCACTTCCCTTGAATTTGTTAACGAGTATGCTTACCTAGGACAAATAGTTCGACTATGTAAGTCCAACTTCGACCGAGAGGTCAATCGACGGATTCAACTGGGCTGAGCAGCGTTCGGGCAATTACGACACTCCTCTCATCACGTATACTTCATACTCACGTAGACTATACAACCATTGCGTGTTGCCAGTGGTGTCATATAGATATGAGGCGGGGTCCTGAAATGAGCTTCTGGACGGACTCAATAAAGATTCATAGGGGCGTTCCTACAGAACAGTGCTGGGTAAACTCCGACCTTGGTCGCCCTCTTTGGCGGACACTCTTGATCCGAACATGCTGGGATGGGTGATCAGCACGCTTGTCCCTGAAGACACGAATCAAGTCCCTCAAATCACCCGCTGCCATCCTGTACGTGGCATAATGAGACACGGGTGACCGTGGTGAAGCTGGACCGTCATTAGCCGATTAAGAGGCCGAAAAATCGGATCAGGGCCCGACAGAATCCCGGATCGGATTATTGTGTTAAGTCTGGCTGTCCTGGAGGGCAGGCTTAGGCAGCTGTTTACCAGCTGTCTATGGAGTGCAAAGTTCCCCACAGCATGAAGACAGGACCGCTGATTCTCCCTCTGCGTAGTCTCATATGCCTATTGGACCAGATTGGCAAGTTGTACTCGAGGATAGTTTCCACTCGGCTCAATGTGTGTGCAATATTTGCAATATCTGTCGCGCGTTGGTCCCGTTTTGGTGCGCTGTAGATGCGATTATGCGTTCGCCCCCTTTCTGAACAAACATCATCCCAGAGTGGCGTGGCTTTAGCGATAAGTCTCAACACCGTCATCGTCTTTAACTCTTAACCCCGGGACGCAATCAGGAGGGCACTGGCACATCACCAGGTCACCCCTACCCGCAAAGTATACCTGCGCGACAGATAAATTATGTACATGGGGCAAGATGGTAGGAAAGTCTGGAGGGAGATAAAATGTAGAATTCCACAGCGCTCGGTTCTGGGGCCGCTATTGTGGAAGCTCGCCTATGATGCGATTCTGCGATTCGACCTACCCTTTGGCGTAAATGTCGTGTGCTATGCCGACGCAACACTTGTGATCGCCAGCAAGGTCACTTTCGAAAGAGCCAAAAAGCTCGCCGAGCTTAGGTCAGAAGTTGTCGTCGCCAAAATCCACGAGTGAGGTGGAAACATAGCTTTAAAAAACCGAGGCCTCAAGCTTTCACAACCACGGAGATGGGAATCACCTGACTCGTGCATCTACTTGAGTGGATCTGAAGTCAGAGTAGGGTGGTACATTAGTCACTAGAGCTTCGAAAAACACATCATCAAGCGTCATGTCCCTCGGATTAAGAGGAAAGCGGGTGCTATTCATAGACTGCTGCCCATACTAGAGGGTCCGACGGAGGATGTGCGCCTCCTGCATGCAGGAGTTATACGGTTCGTTGTACTGTACGGTATACCAGTATGGGTCAAACGACTGGTCATCCAACGCTGCAGAATTAAAATCTATAGTGTCCAACGGAGGATGGTGATATGAATCGAGCGAGGATATCCTACCATATCCTTTGAGGCCACAGTCCTGGCTTGCTTTCCGAATCCGGACATACTGGCGGATATGGATGCCAGGGTGTACGACCGGATTCGCGTCCTTCGCCAGAGCGGTGGTGGCAAGCCAAAAGAGGCGTTCGAGATGGTAAAGCGGCTAAAATGACTTAAAGATATTGTAGCGTGGCGCGATCATCGCTGTAAGGAGCCCGTTGCGCGCAAGCGCGTTGTTGATGCAATCCTGCTGCACTTCGGAAATTGGATTCATCGACGTACAGGAAGACTTACACAGATAATAACTGGACTGGGTGCTTCTGTGACCTGCGTAAAATCGGACGCGAAGCGACTGCAAACTGCTGTTGCTACTGCGGTGGGCGTCCCGTTAATGATTGTGTTCACCCATCGAGATAGCTTCCGAGTTAGTGGGGAGTTCTGAGTTAGCACTGTGAGGGTGCTGGGGACTGTAAATACGGACCGTAGGACGTGCTTTCAACAAAGAAAAGCGAGATGGTAGCGTTCCGAACGGAGATCCCGGGACCCCTTGTATACACCGATGGTGAACACCGTGGGATTTTAGCCGGTATGAGTCCCGTATAACCTTTCCGTCTTCTACGCAGCCAAAAATATAAAGCGAAAGAGATGAGGATTTCGCCATGATAAAAAAGGACAAATTGTGAGACTAGGTAAATCCAGCTAGCCGTGGTAGCTCAGGAGCTAAGCGCTCGCTGTAAATTTCACAGTACGCGAGCAACGCGGGTTCGAGTCCACAGCTAAATATGTGCCATATTGATAGTAATGTAGCTAGGTCTTTTTGAATTCGCCTTACTCTAAATTTTGGCCGCAACGATGTGTCGGTCGCCCCCACTTGGCCGCCTGGCACCTACATAACGATGACGATGCCTAACGAAAGAAATGTGCATGCGTCTTGCTCGCGCTTACAACTTTCTTTCATTAGCATTCGTAGCCTACGCCGTTTAACCCGCTAGCTCAGAAAGAACAGCAAACAGGTTAAAATAATATCATTTATTTTCAGTTTTAATGCCATAGGATGAATTATTTTTATGTATCTTGTTGGATATTCTGAAATATCGCCTATTGGTTATATTTTACAAATACTTTCGAGGATAGCTTCTTTTCTACTTACACAAAACACCATATTATTTTCCAGACTGTAAAAAAAGTCATCCAGTTTATTTTTATGTATGTTTATTAAAAAATGCTGCTGAGTTTCCTAATTTAAAAACAATATGATAAGAAAACCGCAGATCTACGGGGGATTTCCGTTTAAGTTAACTTGCTATTATTTTTAATACTAATATCGATGGCGGGGTTACTGATTTAATGAAACATAGTGAAATTATACCCTTATTTAAATCGTAATCTATTTAGTAAAATTTTTGGAAAAATTATTTTTGATCAAATGTAAAGTTTTTTAATGTAAATAAATTGCCCCACGAAAATCAGTTTGGCTTTTACAAGGGGTCGCTCGACAACCTATGCCGGTGTCGAGCAGATTAAACACATTTTCGGTGCATGGAAGAACTTAGAGGGTTCTTAGGGTATATTTTGTGATCTTTACACGACTTTTGGCTGCGTTCATCATGAGACATTAATCAGAAAGCTAAATCATTATGGCGTTTAAAACATAACGCTTAAACTTAATGCATCATATTTAAATAATGGAACGCAAACAAAGTAATTCTTAAGAAAAAAGTAGTTCTTCCGGATTTGTAGTATCTATGGGTGTTCCTCAGGGCTCAATTCTTGACCCCTGCATGTTCGTAGTTTATATTAATGACTTTCCTTACTTGGTAGGGTTTAGCCATGACATATTTTTATTTTATTTTTTTTTTTTTGCTGATGATACTTCGTTGATTTTCCCAACTTAAATGGCAATTATTAAAATATATCGAAGAGAATAATGCTATATCAAAAGTTAACGTAAACCATTTGCTATTAAACGGCAATACAACTAAATGTATTAAATATACAACACCAAAAGTTAAACCGGTGAATACCAGTGTGCTTTTAAATGAGGAAAAGCGGAGTCTTGTTGAATCCACTGTTTTTCTCAGAGGCAAACGAATCAGGAGATGGAGAGCAGCGTCTTCTAGATAACGACTAAATATAAAAATGTTATTGCTAACACGCTTGGCAAGCGTTGTAACTATGGCAAATATCCCCCTATAGCAATGTATGGGAATGTATAGTAGGCTGTAACGGTAATGGTAACGGTATCCTTATCTCGAAATTGTTACATTACATTATGCACTTGAAGAATTTTATAAATGTATTTATGACTATAAGATACTAACCAAGTGCGTTGAGCGCGAAAACTGGAACGTACTGCGTCGGTGGAGGTTTTTCATACTGGTCATATTGATGGTGATGTGAATCGCTCGACGTGTCCTGCGAATAAACCAACTTACGTACAAGTTGCATGTGCTGAGTAGCGGTCTGCAATGCGGGTGCAATAATATCTTATCATTAATCTATTATTTATTTAATTTTAATAAGCCAGTTTTCGACTACTATCCCACCGCACGATAAGTGGTGATCAGCCAAAGATAGTAGTCATGATATGGTTACTTAGCTTAACAAAAACCTATCCACTCTTCTCTTGATACCATACGGACACTCACACCACACACTATACGGTAGGAAAGATATACATATATGTACTGAGATCGTGCATGTACTCGCAAAGCGTTGCACGTGTCCAGCACTGCATTTATGGCTGGTAAGCAAGTAGAGAGAAGAAGCAGTTAAAGTATATATTATAGTCAAAAGGTAGGTGTACAGTTGTGCATTATGTAGGGAGTGCAGAAGTGAAAGTGAGAAGTTAGTAAGGTGAGGCGAGAGGATGCACGGCGCGGTATTATACGGCAAGGATTCTTTCGCGTTCACCGTACGGTGGCGCGTACTTGCGTGCATGCGTAGTCGCGCGCGCGCGCGCGTGCGTGCGTGCGTGCGTGCGTGCGTGCGTGCGTGTGTGTGTGTGTATGTGTGTGAATGTGAGTATGCATGTCCTCGGTGGAGGCGGAGGCGGAGGTGGAGGCGGCGGGGCGCGCGGCGCGGTGCCGCTTGTGCGATTATAGCTTGGCTTGCGGTGCGCGCGCGTGTGTGTGTGTTTGTGTGAATGTGAGTATTCATGTGTGTGTACCTGCGGCGAGGTGTCCTGCGCATCCTCGGTGGAGGCGGAGGCGGAGGTGGAGGCGGCAGGGCGCGCGGCGCGGCGCCGCTTGTGCGAATATAGCTTGGCTTGCGGTGCGCGCGCTTGCGGCTCCTCTGCCTGGACAATTGCATCACCGTCACTCACCACATTCATTGAACAATCGATAATGAAGCTACACTAGCTTTGTTGTTAAGGGTACGTACTGCAAATCAAAAATAGTCGTGGGTTGGAATTCGCAATTCGACTGCCGTATAATGGCCACGTAAAAAAAATCCATCACCTCATTTCATTCTGATGGTATGGGATAAAGAACTTATAGCCTATATATGGCAGTATAATCAAAATTAACGACGAGAATCTGCTTCATCTTTTCGCCGGTCAAGCGTTACGGTCAAGGCGAATTCTCCTTTCAACGGGAAAAATCCGTGCCGTACTGTAAACTTGTACGGTCTGATAATGATGACAATTTATTTAACGATTCGGTATAGCAATGACTTAGCGTTTGATTTCGTTGCTGCGGATCGATTCACGCACTGATCATAACTTTGTATGACCGCCAAATAAATATTGTTCCGGATCCAACTTTTTGTCTTTTTGAACTTTATTTACGCAAAGCGCCTCCACGATACATGAGCAATTTCAAGTATGGAGTAAAGTTTTAAGTGTTACGTGATAAAACACAAATATAAGGATTTTCTCCTGTATAAGTAAAATCTATACTAGGTGACAGGACTTGTTTTCTTAGTCCATCTGTGAAGGTATGATCCCCTTGTAAATGTGATCTTAGTCCTCAGTGGTCACAACGCATCTGTAGCCTACTTCTACTAATACTAATAGCCACTTCCCATCAGATGGATTGTATCTTCGTTTGTCACTTCAATTTTATATAAAAAAAGACTTACTATAACAAATACTATTATAGAATAGCTAGAATAGTAAAACATATACATGAAATAGATCAAACGGAAATGTATTAGAGGAGAAAATCTTTGGCAAAGGAATGTGTGAACAAACTGAATGCGAGAAAATAAGTCGAGATCAAGAGCGTAGATGGGCTGCATTTTTTCCATACAAATGTATTCCTGTATTCTCTTCTTGGATAATGCCTTTAGAGTAATCGTTTTTATTTATAAAAATCTAGGTCTATGGAACGCATGCCACTGTCATTTATTTTCTTCCAAAAAATTATTACAAAAATATATGACTTTCCAAAAACCTAAAAGATACTAAAGTTACTGCCAAAGTTTTAAATAGGGTTTTTAATAGATAGTGAGCATAGATCTTTTCGTCTTTTAAATTTTGATACCAAAAATAGTTTAATTAGCTTACTTTTCGTGGAGAAAACTGAGGAATACGAAGCATCGATCGATCATGATTTTTGTAGATAAAATCGTTCTTATCTGCAGTTATTCCTATCGCAATCTACTGGGGGGAGACCAGAGGTGAGGGAGTGTTAGTCTAATACTACGTAGTACTATTATTTATTCTGTGCTAATACATACGTATTAGCACAGAATAAATAATACACAATAAAATTAGGGAAGTGACAACTGTCGAAGTTTTTATCGATATCATAGTGATGTCAGTCGATATCGATGTTTATTTTATACCGATTTACAAGCGGCAGAAAACAGTGAAATCATTGAGTTATACAAAACTAGAGGAGCAAACCACATTACTGCGCGTCGAAAAAAGTGTAACCACTAGCCAACCGCGACGACGTAGCTTTGAAATTACTAAACATTTTAAATAAACATATATCTGTCTCACTTACACAAGTTGCGATAACAATACCGTCACTAAGATTAGATAAAGATAGACACATGCAATGGCGGGTTGGTGTGGCTTACTATATGAAATTTAACCCAAAATACGCAATAAAAAGGAGTTTTTTTTAAGGTGCAGTTGATTGTTTTTATTTTAGAAAAAGTAGATTTTTTATCACGTGAATAGAAATTAGCATAACTGATGAAATAAAACATATTTTAACAGTATTTTTATTGTACTATTAAATCAAACAATATAAAATAGGTAATAAGGTATAATTAATATAAAATATAAAATTTATATAAAAATAAAATTATAATCAATATAAAATTATTAATATAAAATAGGTAATAAAATATATTTAATAGATCATTCATTAATAAACTAAAATAAGAATAATTAATTATTTTGTATGAAAGTTAAAACGTAGTTTTTATTGTAATTTCCAAAATATTTAAAATCAGAGGTAACAAATAAACTTTTTTCATTAATTATATAGTCTTCCGTTAATGTGGGAAAATCACAAAGGAGGAAAAGTGGCAACATTTAACCTAAATCGCAATATTCGATAATTTTATTTAATTAAGGTTTTTACGTTTATATGAAAACATGAACCAAAACTTGTGTGGAAAGTGATTCCGCTTGATTTATTATCTTTTTGTGACCTTGAATCGCATTCTTTCACTACAAATTTTCCTATTTTTTGTTGCGGATCATTCGGCTCAACGCTGTCGGTGTCACATTGAACACCGAACTGACGTTAGCTAGGCATATGGATGTGGCCATATATGCAGTGGCAACGCTTTGGCGTGGTAATTACTAATCTATTGTAATATATAAATCAATGAATCAGATGCTCATTTTGTATTTTTCCAAGAGTTCAATAACATTTTAAGAGTCTATAATTACCGTTTAGTATTATTTAGATTGAATTTAAGCGAAGTGTCTCTTGAAAATATACAAACCGTAACCAAATAATATGTACCTAATGTTCGCACTCTACTGCTTGGTGTGACAATTCCGTTTACTTGATTTGCTAGCTTTACTGGGGAGTTTATCAAATAATGATTACTCTTATCAAGTAAATTCTTATTTATGTGGCAGAAGAGCTGCGTGTGGGGTGGGTGTGGTGTGGTTTTAAATAATACAAAAGTTATATCAATAATTAATATGTACATTTATTCTATATGTGTTGTGTTGTGTGTTTAGAATTTTTTTTAAGAAAGATACTTGAGCTCGCAAACCTTTCTTTACAAGTAATGTAGATTACATTTCATGTGCCTGTTAAAAGGTTCCTTCTAAATCTTACATAGACTACTTATGGAACATCAGTCGTAAACCAACTTTAAAACTAATTCCACTGATGTCCCTTTTCCATGTAAGCTCCATAATGAAAAATTACTATGTCTTTTGTATATAGTCATAACGAGTTAACACTTTATTTTCTATCAAAAAATAAAATAAAACACAGTTGTTTCTCGCACAAGCAAAAATTTATATAACAAGTAAAAACCCAATTACCGATGGCAACCCCAGTCGGAAGGTCAATTATATAGTTTTATAATATTTAATTGCAATAGAGATAGGCATTATATAAATACATATTGTAATTTGACGTAAATGCATATTATGAGCGTCCAAAAAAGTTGGTAATTGATTCGCTGCGATGAGATAAACCGCGTGCGAAACAGCACGATCACACGAAACAATGCGAACGCCGATATCTTCAATAGTCGGATTTACACGAACGTAGCTTGGATGGTGCGGGACGCGGAAGAACCGCAGGCGGGCGAGAAATGCGTGGTACTTAGCTGCGCACACAAATACAGACTATTCACTCACATGTTGATGCCTCCGTTGCAGTGGACATTGGGCCTCACGCGCAGCACCACGGCAATAGTTTCTTCAAATAACTATTTCTCAACTCCCGCGCATACCGACTACGCTCTTAAGATGTAAAGCAGTATGAAAAATGTATGAGTATTATGTATCTTATGCTAATATCAACGTGTGTACTCGCCTCCGTGTCCTGCGACCTGGAGAACCGCCTCTCGATGGAGTTCTTGAACTTGTAGGAGTGCAAGTAGTCGTCGTGGTCGGGCTTGCACAGCTTGCGCAGCGCAGCGTCGCGCTCACGCTTGTGGCGCACGTCTGGCGGCTCCGCGCCCCCCCGCCTCCCCTGCCCCCTCACACAGCCCCTCCCCAGCACTCATCCCCGGTATCATCGACCCTCCTCCAGGCACGCACTGCGCCGTCGCCACTGTACACAAAACACAAGTATCATCAAGTTACGAGCAGTATGTCAGTTGCAGGTTACCGATAGTTTCAAACCGCATTTCTTTGATCTTAACATTCTCACCCTGCCATCTTTATATATATTCGAAGTAGCTATGTTTGTAAGGAAGCATTTTAGCATATTTGAAAACGGTAATAATATATGACATAGGAACAAACTACGTACAAAAACTCATAAAACAGCCCTGTATTCAAAAAGTTCCTAAAATTTTTAATAAACTCCCAAAAAACATCAAAGAAACTGATAATATAGACAAATTTAAGAAATTGCTTTCGAGTTTTTTTTAAAATAAAGCATACTACTCTATCAACGAATATTTTGGAGATAAAATGAATGGTTTTTAGTACCTACAATAATTAATGTCCGATTTATTTATCTTTATGGTGTTAAGAATTATGTAATTTCTAAACATACGAATTATAATGAAATTGTTATTTTATTAAAAATAAATTTTCATATTGCGAGGTGATAGTGATAAACAAATATTTGTATGCCTTTTTATGCGAAACATAGTGTTACTTATCATACCTTTGGTAAAAAGTTACAAACTTGGTGGAAGTTTGTAACTTTTTACCTATGTTTTCCAAATAAATTATTTGATTTGATTACTCCAGCCGATTGGGATTCGGGCAACAATCGTGGTTCGCGGCTTTCACTATTATAAAAGTTTAAGAGAGAGACATTATTTAGCCATTTGTTAACAAATTTTGGTGGGCACTGGACACTGAGTATAATTTTATATTAATTAACTTTAATTACCCGTATACCCGTAGGACCTGTTGTCCGATCTACGCAGAATGAACTAACTGTGTTTTGAAGTTTTGTTCATTGGTAGGATGTGCAAGCAAGGATGATACGTGAGGCTATTTAAATTTAAAAACATCCTAATTAAATAGAGAAGCAGGCTGGGTACTACCACCTCCTTGGGATCCTATAATTAATAAAATTAAAACTAAACCCAAGCATACCACTGCAAGACTTCAAAACACAGTTAGTTCATTCTGCGTAGATCGGACCAAAGACTAATTAAAAAGCTGAAGGTACTCCGGGTTAACTTTGACATTTGGACGTCAGTCACCTCAGTCTCCCGTGACCATGGGTGCTGGAAAGCACCCGAAACGTCGGGTATTAAAATTAAATAAAACGCGATAAAATCCGTAAAAGTAGTTTTAATCAATGTATAGTGTTCGCGTAAATATAAGAAATCATTATACAATTAATTGTTTCAAAATTTTATCAGACCATCATTATCATCATTGTCAGATCCTAAAAATCCTAGACAAACTGACAAACGCTGTACCAGACATCTCGCTTCTTTGACGCTGCTCTCCGTCGCAGGTCTGCATACAGAAATTATCATTCAGCTATTTATCGGAAGCTATAAGAGCTTTGGGGGAATTTTTTGGCACTAGATGGAGTGACGACCTGGTAAGACATGGAGGAAGTCGATGGATGCAGGTGACTCAGGGCCGTGCTTTGTGGCATTCCTTGCGGGAGGCCTATGTTCAGCAGTGGACTTGTGAAGGGCTGTAATGATGATGGTGATGATAAGAGCTTTCTAAAGACCGATTTACACTTCGACAAGTACATTAGCGAGTTAACTTGCGAACCTAGCGAGTTCAGTAGAAAATCTCGTTTGAAGGCAATAAGCGAGTTAAGTAGCAAGTTAACAATTAAGTTGAACGGGATAGCCGGTCCGGCTATTTTTTGTGCGAAGTGTTGCCCTTCCGCGCGTCTCCCGGCACCCGCAACTAAACGCGCCGCTTGTGTGAACGAGCGAGTTTAGTTCATATCAGTGCATAAGTTGACAGTACACAACGTTTGCGCGCCAAAACTTATAATTGTACTTTTATAATTAAGCTCGCCACAAAGTCTGTAAGGTACTGTTTATTGAATATTTATATACGTTTTATGTTGCGTTTTAATAATGAAATGAACGGAAGATATCACGTATAAATTCGTACAGGAGTATTTAGAACACGAATGTTTATATATTATAGTAGAATTTCAAATTATAAAATTGCTCGAGATGCTGCACTCATGAAAATTTAAAAAAATCTTCTTTAACAACAACCAGTTACATTTCTCTTACTCTATATCATTTAATTCTTGACGTAATCTTAAAACTATCCTAAACGAAAACAAGAAAAATTCTGTAGTCTTGAAAATTCATACTACAATGAACTCTATGAACTAATGTCCTTAACTAAACTCGCCACGAAAACATTGTTTGAACGCTACTGCCCACTTAACCGTTTACTGTCAACTGCCCTGTAACTAAACTCGCTACTGTACTTGTCGAAGTGTAAATCGGTTTTAAGCTTGCCCTAGTCAATGGCACGAAGTAAGTGATAGCCGTGGTAGCTCAGATGGTTAGCGTTCACTATAAATTTCACTTGATTCACTGATTTTACCAAGTAATCGGCGGTGAAGGAAAATATCGTGAGGAAACCTGCATGTCTGAGAAATAAGAAATTTTTTTTTAAAGACCTGTGAAGTTCACCATTACGAATTGGGGCCGCGGGGAAGTGTCCTTGCCCCTAAAACCCTCTAAGAAATAACAGGAGGCCTATGCCCAGCGGAGGACACATATACATAAACACTCACGCCTGTCACCCAGGGGGGTAGGCAGAGACTACAGACTTCCATTTAGCACAGTCCTGACATACCTCTCTCGCCTCTTCCACAACCATATACCTACATACATGCATTATGCTCTATACTGCATACATGCTCGTCGGTTAAGGGTACTCTCAATTTGGTCCATTTTTAGTATATCGCCAATTTGGTCTACAAACTTCCGCCTAGGACGTCCCTTTCCGACTCTTCCATTCGATTCTGCAACATATATTTGCTTTGTCAGTCTTTCCGCATTCATTCTTTCTACATGACCAAACCACCGAAGCATTCCTTTCTTAATCCTGGTCACCGCATCATCTTGCAAACCACATTCTTCTTATTTAGGCCGACACATATAGGCTGTATTTTAATATTTTTTATAAGAACCTTCTGACATTTGCTCTAGCATCTGTTTCTTACGGCACCCACGGGATGAAATGGGGTGATGGATTTTCGCCACCTTATGGCTCTAGTTCCCGTTAATGCTAAACGGAAAAGGCCGGCGACGGGGAGCACCGTCGACGGGACGAAGCGTTTGGTACAATGATCGTTACTAAACATAACAGTTACAGCAAATACTCACTAAAACGGGAGAGGTCCATGTCCAGCAGTAGACCTTTACTAGTTGATGACAATGCAGAAATTATTGTATTATGTTATCGTATGTGGTAGAGCTATGCTGCAGCTATATTATGATTGTAGTACTAATAAGTCGGCTTGACTGGGGTGAACCTCACTCTCACAGAATACTAGTGTTTTGTGTGTTGAGTATAAAGAACCGAAAACCCTTTTTACTAGAAACGAGGGATTCTTAGCACACAGGGGTGACAACGCTCCCCCCCCCGAACGGGTTCCCGCCTTGTCGTGGCGGGGGGCTTAGAAGCCGTGGCTTGGTCACCCACGGCGAAACAAAGAGGAATCCATATGGCTGGTCCGAGGTGGAGGGCCGGCCCGAGGTGGCCACTCCGAGTGGGCTTGGGAAGCCCACTTCGGATGTGTGTTGGTGGATTGCGGGGGGAGGTGTGTCCTCCCCACCTACCGCTGCAGCCGAGGTGGAGTCGCGGAGGAAGAGGAGTGTTGGTATGGCGATGCGCCACTCGCCCTATCCTCCGCGACTCAAACGGGGCCGCACCATTGATGCGGTGGTGATGGGGCTGCGGGGGGAGAGGATTGTCGGTATTGCGAGGCACCGCTCTCCCTATCCTCCGCAGCCGAATCTTGGTTGGCGGCGGAGCCATAGACCAGATCCGCCGCTGGGGTCGGGAAGGCTAGTACTTCTAAGTGCTCGTTTTTCCTGGCCCCATGGCCTTCGCGCATCGGACGCGGGGGGCGTCTGTTACGCAGATGTAATTGGAGGCCGTGGAGGAAGGCGTGCCATGTGTTCTGGTGCGCCTTACTTGGGAAGGAAAACGGGGAGGAATATTCCTCTCCCGACGAGGTGCTGCCATGGGGCGGTAGTTGCTGGTGGGGCCGCGGATGTGTGCGAAAGCGTTCCCGTAGCCCTGCCAATATGCGACGAAGGTGGAACACCATGGGGTTTTAGTCGGTGCGAGTCCGACATAACCCGTCCTTGCCCCCGCGAGGCGGGTATGCGTAGGCATTTCCCCATGTTAAAAAAAGGGGGTGATAACGCATCTGCATATTGATGCTTAATTGAGGAATAAATGTAGATGTCTATGGTTCGCAGTATCCATCAGGTAGTTTGTTAAACCCTTTCTATTTAAAAAAAGAGGAAGAATAAATTGTAATTCTCATTTCAATCTTAATTATTACTTACTTAGTTTAAAGAACATTTAGCAGATGCAATCGTAGTGTGGGAGTAATGTTTTGTAAAAAGAAGAAATGAAGAAGAATTAATATTTGGTTGAAAGGGCAATAATTTTCTGGACTTCATACCTCGATCACATTCCAAAGGGTACGACTGGTCTGGCGCCGGCTCGTAGTGGTCGGGCGGATAGGCGTGCGGGCCGGGCGGTGGTTGGATGACACCTGGCTTCACCGTATAGCTGAGCGAACTACAGGATGAACTTGCGGTTTCCGACGATGAGCCAAACGATCGACTATTGTGCCGGGGCGCTTCGCCTGAGAAATTATGTCGTTTATGTGTTAGTTGAGTAAGTGAATGTGGGCTTCGTATTGCTACTTACTGCTTACGAGTAGCATCCTAAAATTTGTACACTTATACCTAATATTTCAGCTGACAACAAAGTGATCGCTTACACATGTGTATGTCGTAAAAATCGATCGTAAGAATTGAGTTTTTAATTACCGATGATAACAGCTATTATTTTTCACAACATCTACACTCATAAATGATCTTTTCTTATATTATTATAAAAACATCTTTGAAATGTTTACTAACCTTTTGTGATAATTTCGCAATGCCTTTTAAGGTGAGAGGCAAGCTGTGCGCAAATGCCGTCGGTGGGAAAGCCTTGAGTTTCTGCCAGGTAACGTAGTGCCTCTCCAACCGCTTCTTGATAACCGGCGCGGAAGTGTTCTTCCCCCGCCTGCCTTTCGCTCGCTGTAATGATCCATAATATGTATCAGACATAATTATTACATTAAAAATAAAGATCGCGTTGTGTTGGCATATAGGTTTAAGAACATAAATGCAATCAAAGGTTTTTGATTAGAAATTAATTTATTAATTATTATATATTATTAATTAAGTAGAATACAAGGGACTTTACTAAGGCCGAAGGGTTACTTCCGTAAAGTAATAATCATAGACTATAATAAAGAAAAATTAGCTAGTGCACTACGAACATTCTACGAGTGTTTTAACATCAGGTTTGTTGTCCTTCTTCGATGATGCTGTTTCATGAAAAAAAATTATCAAAATGTGTTTTTAAAATCCTTGATGCTCACTGTAGGAGTATCAAGTACAAATCAATGGAGAAGATAACAAGGTTACAATATTAGACTTTTAAGTACGTAGGTAAAAAGTCTAGACCAAACACATAATTCTAGTTTTTATTTCACATCGATCGGTGCACTATTACCGAAGTTATAAGCGTGGAAAGTTTACGTACATTTCTAAAATCTCGCCCGTGTCCGCGAGTAGCGCGTGACGTCATTCGTTCCATGCGGCCGCGCCGCCATACCGTTCCAGCGCGCCGATCATACGTTTGTAGTAATATTTCGCGGGTGAGTTGTTTGCCCTCGTTCGCTCTGGTGTTTTTAAGTATTTAATGATGGAAGAAGGGTTTCAAAAGGGTCAATCTGACAACCTTCCAATAGTCCGTGACATGATGGTGGCGGAATATTTTCTAAGAAACAAAGATTTTGTCGCGGCTGAAATACGCGGAGTCAAAATGAAAAGGTAGGTATAAGAATAAGATAATATTTTTATTACCTAGGTACCCATTATTACATTAATACTTCTGGGTTTCATTTGCTAATGATAAGAATAGGATCAGCCTCTCGGTCTCGTCTGTGAGGTGGCTGATTTCAGCCAGTAAGAAATTAAAATTAAAATTATTTAAACACGCCATTAAAACACGGTCGCATTTCGCGGCTAAATTCGTTTATTTCTTTATCTTTCTCTGTGGAATAAGACCGTGACTATGTTCATTGTGAACTTGGCTGTATGATATACGTTACTACTAGTAACGTCTATAGAAAAAATAAAAAGAATCTTGTCATTGTCATTGAAGTTCCGTTGATTTCGTTGAATAAACGTGTGATAATTTTGCTTTTAAAATTGTGAATTACAAGTTATTATATCGGATATCATGGAAAATACAATGGAGCGGCAAGTTATCTTTAATTATTTATCTACTTTTCGAGGCTTGTTGGCAATTTTCAATAAAAATTTTGTAATTGAATTTGACTCAGTCCTAGGAATGACCAACGTAATGTCGCAAGTTTTTACTTTTTAAGTGACTTAATTGCTTTCTGTGTCAATATATTCTGTGCAATATATTGTGAAACTAATATTTAAGCTAAATACGAAAGCGCAAAGTATACTTTGATGTAAAAAGTGAGAAATTGCTTCAAAGTATGTAACGGTCGTTAAGTGGCTAATATCCTCACCGATTTTGCCAAGCAAACTTGTGAGGCAAAACATCTTTTTTAAGTTTGAGGGGACCACCAACTAGTTTGTACTTAACGTAGTTTTCCAAATCGTTTTCGACCCAGAACAAAATACAAACTTATTTAAAGTCTATAAAAAATAAGGAACCTCGTAATTTGTATTCCATCAATATTTAAAATATGTACCAACTATGTAATACATAAAAATACGACAACACGAAACAAAATTTAAGTGCTCCACTTCATAATCAAACCTATTACATTATTTGCGGCCCGCAAAGTATGAAAGTTGAACAGCTCTGCGTGTGTGTTTAGTTTTTGCTCGAAATATCGTAAAAATATAAAAACGTTTGTTAACATATTCCATATTTTAACCTTTATGTGCATTATAAACATTTTAAAATTTACTGCAAACATATTAGGTATCTAAACTTACGAACTCATGACAGATCATTGACTTATCTACATTACATAGGTACTTTACCCAAGTTTGGATGTTTATTTACACTGAAGTAGTTTTAGTTAAATATGTAGGTATTAGGTATTGTTTCTTCTTGAAATTATAATGATCATTAAGCGTGGAAAGGTTCAATGAATGTTAGTTACTTAAAACTGATGGTCTATGTAATAGAAAGATTTATAAAAATATTGTGAAGTTTTTGGAAATGACGTGTTCGGTCCTAAAGGATGTGCTCTTCTCATAACATTTGTCCATTTTTTTCTGATGGTAGGGTTTCTAGGCACATTAAAAAACAACTTTTCAGGTGTTTTTGTGGCCGTATTTTTACATTGAGGCACAGCACAATATTTAATAGATGGTGTCATGTTCTACTATAATGTCTCTTGTTAAAAATAGATAGATAGATCCGCATGCGACGGGCACATTCGAGTAAATTAGTTGTAATATTTATGGAGTATGTTTTGATTTTCTAAGTGCGCGTCGCGTCGCTCGCACGAAGATGGAACTTGTGACGTCATCAACGATGTCGCGCTCGGCCCGCGGCTTAGATCGAAAATGTTGACTTTGCGCCTTTATATCTCGGTCAGTTTTGAAGATAGAAAAAATTTAAAAACACAGTTATTCTCATAATTTTTTGTAGAATTTTTGGCATATAAAACAAAAAATGGTTATCTTCTCCATTGTGTTGTGTGTGATTTTTATTATAGAAATACGCCAATACTTTAAATATTAATCCCAGCTGCCAAATTTCGTGAACGCACTACGCGGCAAACGTCCCGATACCATCCGCACCATCTGGATGCTTGGCGGTCCACCATTGTACGTTTCAAAAGGAGTTTTCTTCCGCGTACAACCTCTCTGTGGAATAGTTTACCACCGGCGATTTTTCCGGACCGATACGACCTGGGGACCTTCAAGAAAAGAGGTTACTCCTTTCTAAAGGGCCGCAACGCACCTGCAATTCCCCTGGTGTTGCGGTTGATCATGGTCGCCGGTAGTCACTTAACAACAGGTGAGCCGCATGCTCGTTTGCCCCCTCTTCTATAAAAAAAAATTCAACTCACAAATGAACCTCGTGGTCGTCCAGAGAAGTTTGATAATGATGAACAGAAGGCGATAGTAGAAGTGGATTCGTCTTAAAATACAGCTGAGCTAGCGTGAACTAGCCAACAATATTAATGTTACTAATTATTTGTCTTCTAGGTAGCAAGCTTGCTTGCTGTTGATAGCGGATGGCAGGATCCAGATAGGATCAAAATTAATTACCTACTAAATTCAGTCACGCAACGGAATATCAGCTAGTGCGTTGGTTTTTAATCTGGATGCATTGTGGTAAGTTTGTTTTCTTCACTCAATATGCAAACCTCCCTCTGATCTCATAGGCATTACATTGAACACAAACGTTTAGGACTAGGAATTACTGTGCTTAATATTAAAAAATAAATAATCAAACATAGATAGAAAAAATTAAACTTATTAAAAGAATTCGGTCTTACAAACCATTGATGCGCTCCTGCAAGAACTTGAGATGTCGTATAGCCATCTCTATTATTTCGGTTTTCTCCACTCTACCCCGGCCCTTCTTGAGGTACTCTGGCGGAATAAGGCGAGAGAGGTCCGCTAAGCAATTATTCATCCGATCTCGTCGTCTCTTCTCTATTATGCGGTGGGACATTGGGTCTTGCTGTAAATGTAAAATAGATTCTTAAGTTTGTTTTCATTAGCTCATATATTGTATAATTGTATAATAACCTAATAGTTTTCTATTTATAGAAAAGATTTTTATGGTACATTTACGCTTGAGCTGAAATATGACCCAGCACTAATGAGTTGGCTCAATGTGTTTTATAAATTGAGTGGCGAGAACCAGTGAACCTTTTAACTGTTAACTATTTTTTAGTCCTCAGGGATAAAAACAAATCTGCATTTTGATTTTTAATCGAGTATAGAAATACGGATATTGTGATCACTATCATTAATTGGACTGTATGTTCTTGAAACGCTAATGTATAAAAAAACTGCGAGAGAACTGAATCTAATTATAATATATATTTATATTATATAATATATAATCCATTGAAATAAGATAAAGTAAAAATATAAAAATATATATTTAAAAGACTATTATAATTTATTATTTAAATTTGTTGAATTAAAGCCCCTCAAGTGAGAGGTTGACCGATTCAACCGAGTGTTAAGACGGTGGCGCGGTGCCTGGTGTTGAGATTTATTTGATTCCGTAACATGACCACTTAACTGTACCAATAGTAGAGAGGACTTGCTATAATCGACACGCCATCACACTGCAGGTGTATTGGTGAGACATTTTTATTTTACGCACCTTAAATGTTGCTATATGTCACGTGTATGAATTTTAAATCTTTTATACCCGGGTATGTATTTTAAATCTTGTGAAAATAATAGATGGTTATGCCATATATCGGAAGCCATAAAATATTTCTGGCATTTGCCAAAGAAGCCTCTTCCAACACCCATGGACAAGGCAGAGTTAAGATTATCATATGCAACAAACACAAGGCGGCTCTATATTTCACGCTTTACTTCATTATATTTACAATATACATCAAACATATGAGTGGACTTGTCACTCGGTGAAGTATGACGCTGTAGCGGCAAAACTGGATGCTCTTAACTCTTCCAGTGCCATAAACAGCGTTTAGTCTCGCTCTAAAGTGTATTTTAGCGAATAGCACCCAACGGCGAAACCAAAATAATTCCAATGTGTTCCGTGCTAAAAATAAACAAATAAATAAAACTAAGAAAATGGCAATAGCCTGATCCATATAGCTAAATAATACAAGGAACAAACAACCAGTGGGGATGAAAGTTTCTCGAGTGACCCTCTTCCCTATTCCTGTCGCCAAATAGCAGTGCTTTGCTCTGCACACACAGAGGTGACATCAAATCTGGAGCCTTTTTGGTTTGAAGTTGCAGGTGTCCATGGACTGCAGTATCCACTTACCATCAGGTTGACCGAAAGTTCGTTTGTAACTTCAGTTTTATAAAAGAAAGTGCGGGAGCTTCGTACCAGTAAACGAAATGTAGGGCGGCCTCCACTCAATTGATGCAGGCGGCTCAGGATCGTACTTTATGGCATTCTTTGATGCAGGCCTAAGTTCAGCAGTAGAATTGTGATGGATTACAATAATGATGATGATGATCTAGTGTATATTATAAAATAACATTTAATAACAGAAATATAAATTGGGCATATTCAGTGTGACTTGCCCTCGAGACCTTCCCTTTTCTTCAAGTAGGCGCCGGGCGAATACTCTCCCTCGTCTTCGGACGGCGCGGTGAATTTAAGCTGCTCTCCTGAAATCCTTCCGAAACCATCATTTGAATTGTAACTGAAACAAATATTCACGTTAAATTTTGAGTATTTTTTAATATTTTAGTACCTACGTGGCAAAGTCATGCTGCAGCTATGTTATAATTGTAGCGCGAAGCGGCTCGACAGGACCAGGTAGGACCACGTCTCACAGAATACTAGCGTAAAATAGGACGCTACTGTACTTATGGTGAGTGTACAAAACCGGAGATCCTTTTTACTGGATACGAGGCATTCCATCTTATTCCACAAGGGTGATAACGCATCTGTACATTGATTCTTAATCGAGAATAAATGTAGATGTCTATGACAGTATCCACTTACCATCAGGTGGACTATGTAGTTAAGTAAGAGTTTTAAGTTCAGTCCCAGCCAACTATTATACAATAAATTCAAATAAACCTTTTTCGAATAGAATGTTTTTGAAATTTGTCACGTTGGCACTCAAGGTTATCTGCTCTTATCATCATCATCATCACTTATGAACATAGGCCTCGCCCAAAGAATGCCACAAAGCACGATTCTGAGCCACCTGCATCCATCGACTTCACGCATGTCTGGCTGCAGGTAAATAGCAGTTTAGTCTTTGTTTCTGAATGCACCTGTAAGTTTCCACCAATGGATTTTATCACCGTCAATTTTTTACATAGGATAAGGGACAATTGAGCACACAGTCCATAGACATCTACATCTATACTCGATTACCAATAAAAATGCAGATGCGTTGTTATCTGTGAAGACTAAGAGGAATGCCTCGTATCCAGTAAAAAGGATACTTACCATGTTTCCTACACTCACCATACGAAACACAGTAGCGTTAAGCAGCTATTTATGTTGACCCATTCGTGTTATAGCTATACCTTAACCATACCTATATCTTATGTTGACACAATTCTTTTTAATAAACTACTTAAAGCTCGCCGATAGAAATTGAAAATCTTAAAAATTGGGTCTTGCATAATCATTTTGATTATCAATTGCAACGTGCCCGGCGCATGAAAAAATAAATTGATATCCTATTGAATTTATAAATTCGTGTCTCAGGCACATGGCATTCGAGATCAATGTGGTGTTGTAAACAAAGTGGTACATATTATGTATGCTTTGTTTTTTTTTCTTACAATTCGTCGGTAAAGATTTATTTTCAACGTATCCTTGAAATTTGAATTGTGTATTTACTGTTTTTATTAAAATTTTCGTGGTCACTTGTTCTTTATTAAATCCCATGTTTCTATTTAGGTAACTTTTGTTTATCAAAAGTGTCCTTTAACACATCCTGTTACATAATATGGTGTCTTTTTAAATCCACTGCGAGACTAGTTTCCCACTACCAGTTGTAAAGTTTGAGTTTTGATTTATTGGATATATTGGTCATAATGGTCGTACCATTAACTGGTTGTCTAATATCTAAGCCTCGTGGGCGCAGCCGGATCTTGCCGCAGGGTGAATAAAAGATTGTTGTAGAATAATATGTTTGTGAATTGTAGAATTATATTCCTCCTTACATTTAAAATTAGATGATTAACGGTCGAATTTTGAAATACTATCCCAGTAACAAAAAAGTAAAAATAATCTAATAAAAGTTAAATTAAAAGTTAGTTTAAGTTTTAGCTGAGCTATCCAAACAATGTTTCACGAAGTACCTAATATTAATTTTTACGCAGTAGATTAAAATCCCTAACCAAATACAATAAGGAAGATATTTATTTAATAGACTCCTCACTAGACGGACATACCCACGGGCTGTTTATAATACATTACAAAGACTCATCAGTTTGTTTCAGGGCTACGTGATTAGTTGTGCATGCACATTAAGATGACAACCTAAACTTGCAATGCTTATTACTTATTTATTGTACACTGCAAAGAATGGTATAAAAATAGTAATAAGTTTAGCCATATCCGTTTCGATAAAGAATTAGAAATTGATGAACCAGGAGACCTGTACAATTACTTGCGCATAGATATAGAGATATAGAGAACTATTCCCAGAATATTTTATTACCATTAAAACTCATTACAAATTAAAAATCTCCAAAGTTCGTTAAATAATAATAAAAGGCCGTCTGCACTAGATGGTATCGCTCTTGTGTCTGTAAACAGACAGCTTAACATTCAGGCATGTCTGTGCCCGCGCAGACAAAACGAGATCGCGCGGACCTTCAACAGGCCAGTCCGCCAGACCGACTGCGACGCTCCTGCACTATCAAACTTTGCACAGGGCTATAGTAGTGAAGTCCGGCAAGCTTGACTTGAGAAAAAAGCCTATTCCTTTTTAAAAAGCCGGCAACGCATCTGCAATCCCCCCTGGTGTTGCAGTTGTTCATGAGCGGCGGTAATCACTTACCGCCATTCTATATAAAAATAAAGTAAAATTAATATAACTCTACCACATAAGTTACCGCGCTTTAAGGTATACAAGCTGTTCAAAGAATGCCTCTGTAAAAGTATCTTAGGTAACTCCCCACTTACCAGAATGATGTCATTATAGGTACAACCATATACCAAATTCCATAGAAATAGATATAATGTAATACACCATCATCTAGATTTAAGTTTTCGATCCATAAAAATTTCGGAAATGTATAATAAAATTAGTAGATTTATTATGAATATTACATAGACTCTAAGCATTAAATCCACAAAATGTAACTATAACAAATCTGATTTTCCACGTATGTATACTTATTAGAATATTATTATCTGTTTCCCTTTCTTTAAAAAAAATCACTTCCATATTTATGTAAGTTGTGGTTACCTGTAAGAAGATGAACACATAGCATGTAGTCGCACTGTTGAGTTATATTTTTGTTAGTATTGTGTATAATCTGTTGATGATCCAAATAAAGAGAAAAAAAACGACGGATTGCACTCTGGGACCTGGGAGTGCCGGCAGAAGTGAAAACTTGAATATTAACGTTGTGCATTTTTGATATGTAATTAAATTACATTTGCAAATCATCCAATTTCTTTTGGAACAGTTCTTCTACATTTTTATCATTTTCCTTTAAACCTTTTGTACGTTGATAATATGCCCTTTGATTCTCACGATGTCCTTTTCTTTTTTCTTCTTTTTTCTCTTCCTTCGAAACTTTTTTCTCCAAATCTTTTGTACGCTGACGCCATGCCTTTTGGTATTCTCGATTTCGTTCTTGTTTTTTTTTTTTTCTTTCTCTAAAAAACGGAGATTATTTATTATCCTCTATTTTATTTCATTTATTTTCATTCGAATTTATTTATTTGGTAAACCTACACCGAACATGTGCTTATTGTGATGTTATGAAAATATAGGTTAATGCTATAAAGTATTAAACATATTACAAATATTACATCTATAATGTGTAAGTACATTTAATAATTTCGTCAAGCAGTACGGTAGACTCGATCGAAACCTAATCTTAATAATAAAATTTATTAATTAATAAATGAAAATTTATTAAGGGTCGGCTTTAGTAATCTGCTGCACGATTTAAGTGATTATTTTAGCTTAAGTTGACAGGCAATGATGCTATTGATTACCATTTAGCTGCTTTTTATGCCGGAAATCTTTATTTTTCGAGATATCGATAGTTAACTTTAACTATCGATATCTCGAAAAATAAAGATTAGGTAAATAAAGATGAGGTTATATCGGGTTGGCTAGACATCCGGTACTTGATTTTGATAATGTTTTTATTCTAGGAGGCTTGTTAGGGTTAAACTTAACCCTATTACACTGTTTTTAGATGTCGGAAATGCATTTTGAATTAATTACGATAAAAACAAATTTCACCAAAAATAGTGTAATATGTCAATTTGTTCTCGTATTATGAAATAGATTTACGATACATGATTTTTTTAATTATGTTTTCAATTTAGGAGGATTGTCTGGGTTAAGCTCGAACCATTTACACTGTTTTTGGATTTCGCAAATGCCTTTTTAATTAATTACGATAAAAATAAATTTCACTTTAAATTACATATAACGAAACACAAATATGTCAATTTGTTTTTTTTAACACAGATACACTCATAAAAAAGTTAATCACTCGGACCCAGACAATCCATTTGTTGTTTGTGGCTGCTGTGTTTGTGGAGATGGGACTTATATACAACAAATTGAGTTGCAGTGGAGAGCAGTCAAGAGGTTTTTCAGAAAACAAAATTATAACAATTCACATTACATTACTTCATTTACCACTCTAGTAGCAGAGTTAAGAGCAACTAGACTTTATAGATAAAATTGGTCGAATCGGTTCTAAAACCGAATTAGCACACCCCAAATCCACATAGCCTTGTCTGCCCTACCTCTAGAGTGTTTTTGTAAAGCCGTAGACACGGAGGGAGAGCAGCCCCCGCCCGCTGTAGCAAATCGCAGGCACCGAAGCGAGCCGTAACGGCTGAGGCTGGTCGCCGAAGGCGACCAACAAGCCAAAGCTGCGGAGGCGAGCGTGGGTGCCTGTGGTTTGCTACGCAAGGACAAAGGGGCTGCACTTCACTTCACTTCGTTGCAGAAGTAACTGCGTCAATATTCCTGTTTAAAAAAGTAAGGTTATTATTTTACTAAAAAAAGGGGGGTTTCCGGCACTTCCCCCCTTTTAGTGGGAGGTTCCTACTCCAGCCCTCCCCCCCCCACTCGGCGACCATATATTCATGCGCAGATTACTAAAAAAAAATCATAAAAAGGGGGGGGGGTCCGGCACTTAATTTTTTAAGGGGAGGTTCCTACCCCTCCCCCCTATCTACCCGCCCACTCGGCGACCATAAATTCGTGCGGCAGATTACTAAAGAAATACCTTTAATTAAACCTAACCTAACCTGAATAATAAAATAAAATTATATTAATTAAAAAATGAAAATCAACTAAATTTTCATCTAGTATATTTTTAAAGTACTCACTCATTTTCTTTCGCTATTTCTTCGTCACTTTGTTCAATTTCCATATTTTATAAACACTTTTTATACACGAACTTTACGAATACACAACAGTGTGACCACCAGTGGCCACTACCAGTTTATACAAAGGTACTCTGTGGCTAC